ACGCGCTCCTGTAGCCCGTGGCCTTGTGGCCTGTGTCGCCTCGGGCCGCCCGCCTCAGCGACGACGCGCTGCGGGGCACAGCGGCCGTCCCCGCGCTCGCGTGACGGAGATGCGGGCAGCGGGCTCAGCGTAGTCTAGGCGCCGTGTCCATCCCGGGTGCCTGGCGCTGCACTGCTCCATCACTCCCTCCTTCCCTCCTTCCCTCCTTTCCCTCCTTTCCTCCTTCCTCCTTCCCTCCTTCCCTCCTTCCCTCCTTCCCTCCTTCCCTTACTCCTTCACTCGCCCCTTTAGTCACGCCTTTCCTCACTCATTTGTTCACTTGTTCACTCATTTCACTCGTCCTCTCACCCCCTCTCCCTCAGTCAGTCACACATTCCTCCATCACTCACTCCTTCACTCACTCACTCATTCATTCACTCATTTGTTCACTCACTCATTCATTCCTTCTCTCATGCACTCTTCCCTCAGTCAGTCACACCCATCACTCATTCCCTACCCCCTCACTTGTGCACTCATTCACTCATTCATTCATTCATTCATTCCCTCCCTTCCGCAGTCAGTCACTCAGCACTCATCCTCTCCTCACTGCACTCACTCATTCACTCATTCAGGTAACAAAGACGATCAGAAAAGAAGAGCAGAAAACCCGGGGGAAAGAAATGACCCAGAAATAGTTGAACCGCTTACGGGGCCAGGAGCACTGGGTCTGCACACTGAGGGCGGGAGCGGAGCTGGTTCCGGTTCCGCAGGCGGATGGACTCCTTCAGCCGAGCTGGGCTCTGCAGTCACCACCTGCTGCTGGAGAGCCAGGCAGTTCCCCCACCTGCTGGTCCTTTATTTACCCACCTCACCTTTGATATGTGTATCTGCTCTGCTGGAGGCTAAATGTGTGAATAACAAGCCGTGGGAGCCCACTCCACTAGAGAGTGGAGCCTCCCCTGGCTCCCCCATGCCTCCCAAATTCATATTTCTTCTCTAGTCTCTTCATTAATTTATACGCAGCTCTTCTCCAGATTCCCGAACCCTTAATGCAGAAAGACCCCAGCAGCGCAAAGCCTGCACTAGGAGCTCAGGACCAGGATCAGGAGGCCTCCGAGAGTTTCAGACCGACTGGAGCGGCCAGATCCCCGATCTCTTATGCGAAAGAAAGCGCAGCTGTGAGTGAAATGTCTCCAAGTCCCAAAGGGCAGTAACTTCAACTTCGATTCTGTAGTCCCTCAAACTGCCCATCAAGTACAAGGGCAGAATGAAAACACACATACAGGAAGCAAGTACTTTCCATCCATCCACCTTAAAACAACAACAAAAACTACTAGAGGATGTGCTCCGACAAACATGGGAGACAATCAACAAAGAGAAAGACAAAGGACTAGTACAATGTGGGTGGGGGACCCCAGGATGGAAGAACTACCTTCAGTTTATCTACCGTAACCTCAAACCTTTACCTCTCATGACGGTTTTCACCATTATACAGTTTTAAAAATATACATTATTAATTATATAGTTTAATTCCCATAATTAATTGGCTGAAGATAAAAAGCTTAAAGAATACTGAACTACATCAATTGACTGAGAAAAAATAATGAAAATAATTATACAAATTAGGATAACATGAATCCATCTGTTGAAAATCCTATAAAATCATTGATTTGTTTTTCCATGTGCTATTTCAGAAAATAGTAGCTTGAAATCTTTTATCTCTTCAATTTAGAAACAAGACCGAAAAGTTGAAAATGAAACCGCCTAAAAAGTCCAAGAATTTAAAACATCTCATATTCTAATTTTTATATTTTTAGTCCAAAAACATCTAGTAAGTTTTAAAAACAAACACTGGTGAAGCCTCTATCCTATATAATAAAAGCCTAATATGCTAAGTCTCCAGTCATCCGGTTGTCCATTCAACCAATCAAAGCGTAATATGCTAACGATATGCTAAGGCTGCTCAACCGCTTGCTATGACATGCACTGACCACCAGGGGGCAGATGCTCCAACTGGTAGGTTAGCTTGCTGCTGGGGTCCGGCTGATCAGGACTGAGTGAGATAGGCCGGACACACCCTGGAGTCCTCCCTCGGTCCCTCCCTGGCTGTCCAACCTCCCGTGTCTCTCCCCGGTCCTGATCATGCACCGGTGGGGCCCCTCGGCCTGGCCTGCACCCTCTCGAAATCTGGGATCCCTCGGGGGATGTTGGAGAGCTGGTTTTGGCCTGATAACACAGGCCAGGCCTAGGGACCCCACTGGTGCACAAATTTGTGCTCTGGGCCTCTAGTAATTACATAATAATGAATGTTCTGCATGGGAAAACTAACATTTGGGGCACATTTGTTATCTTTTTCCCAAAAAACAACCTAAAAAATAATTTGATATATTTGATGACATGGAGTCTGTTGTTATGAAGAGCCAGAGAAGTATACATTTTTACAGTTAATGAGCACAATAATGTTTCTCACTTAACCATCCTAATTATGTTCAGACCTGAGATTAAACATGATGCCATTTAAAAATTGATAATATGATGCTTTTTCTGATAATTAAACTAAACAAATTCTTCAGATGTCAGTTGGAAAAGTATTTCTCACAATTGAATTACCAGTAAAGATAATATTAAAATCAAGATACAGAACACTCTCAAACGTTTTTTTCTTTTCTTTTCTTTCTTTCTTTCTTTCTTTCTTTCTTTCTTTCTTTCTTTCTTTCTTTCTTTCTTTTCTTTCTTTCTTTCTTTCTTTTCTTTCTTTCTTTCTTTCTTTCTTTCTTTCTTTCTTTCTTTCTTTCTTTCTTTCTTTCTTTCTTTCTTTCTTTTTTTTTTGTTAATCCTCACAAGAGGATATTTTTTCCATTGATTTTTAGAGAGAGTGGAAGGGAGGGAGTGGGGGAGAGAAGAAGAAAGAGAGAAACAGCAGAAACTATTGATGTGAGAAAGACTCATCGATTGGTTGCCTCCACGTAAATTAGTTACCTCCCACACGTGCCCCAACCAGGATTGGGGATTAAACCCTCAACACAGGTATGTGCCTTTGACCAGGAATGGAACCCTCAACCCTTTGGTGGGCAGGGCCCATGCTCTAACCACTTACAAACACTGGCCAGGGCTCAAATATATTTCAATCTAAAATTGCATCTTTATCCTTTAGTATTTAGAAAACAGTGAAATTATTTTTTAAAAATTCCCAAGCCCTGGCCCTTGTGGCTCAGTTGGTTGGAACATTGTCCCGTGTAACAGAAGGTTCAAGTTCAATCCCTGGTCAGGACACATACCTAGCTTTTGGGCTTGATCACCATTTGGGGCATGTACAGAAGGCAACCAATTGATGTTCTTTCTCACATAGATGTTTCTTTCTCTCCCCCTCCCCCAACCCCTTGTCCCTCTCTCTAAAATCAGTAAGCATATCCTCGGGTGAGGATTGAAAAAAATTCCCAAGGAGGTTAAACTAACATCTTTCTGTGAAAAGTACTGAAAAGGAAAACAAAAGGTGGAGACACTAAGCACACTCTCCCACCTAGTGCTAGAACACCTGACAAAGGGTCAGGACGTACCTCACTGAGCAGTCCTGGCAATAGGGGATTCACTGCATTTTGAGCTGGGCATTCCCTTCCTTCCTCCCTCCCTCCCTCCCTCCCTCCCTCCCTTCCTTCCTTCCTTCCTTCCTTCCTTCCTTCCTTCCTTTCTTTCTTTTAATTTTTGTTGATTTCAGAGAGGAAGGAAGAGGGAGAGAGAGAGAGAGAAACAGCTATGATGAGAGAGAATCATGGATTGGCTGCCTCCTGCAAGTCTGCTACTGGGGGTCGAGCCCACAACCCGGGCATGTGCCCTTGACTGGAATTAAACCTGGGACCTTTCAGTTTGAAGTCCGATGCTCTATCCACTGAGCCAAACCGGCTAGGGCTTGAGCTGGGCATTTTCATCGGTTAAAGATTTCTATTGTTGAATTTCTCTAAGTTTTAGGAAGTCCTTTTATTTTTAATATTACCTGCTTGTGTTACATTGAATAAGTCTAAATCTATCTAGACAATTTAAGCTTTGTTGTTCTTTCAACAAACAAAAGGAGATACCACTTTAAGGTGGTATCAGGGATTTGAAAGATGAGTACTTTGAAGACAGATTGTCATTTTTAGTCTTCAGTATCTTCAGTTACTTCCATTTGGTCTTCAGACTCCACAGTCCTCCTGTAAATCCACTTTTACTTTCTCAGTATTCCCCTACATCCAAACAGATTAGAAAATTTGATGTGAGATTGGATAGGTGGGGGGAGAGTGACTGTGCCTGCCTCTGATCTGAATCTGTTAGTGCCCTGGAAGACAGTCTTGTTAAACTATTAATTTAGGTTGAGTCTGTGGTCAACTAAAACTAGATATTTTTGTTTGTTAACTATTTCCTTTCTTTTTCCTTTTTTTTTTAAAAAAAATATAAACTGAAAATATATATTTTATTGATTTTTTTACAGAGAGGAAGGGAGAGGGATAGAGAGTTAGAAACATCGATGAGAGAGAAACATCGGTCAACTGCCTCCTGCACACCCCCTTCTGGGGATGTGCCTGCAACCAAGGTACATGCCCTTGACCAGAATCGAACTCGGGGGCCCTTCAGTCCGAGGGCCAACGCTCTATCTACTGAGCCAAACCAGTTAGGGCTATAAACTGCCTTTAAATGAGGTTTTCTCTCCTGTACTTGTGCAGTTGACTTTTTTAGTCTGAGTATATGGGTTGAATTGTGTGCTCCCAAGCGGAAGTCCCTAACCCCCAGTATATGTGAATGGGACTGGATTTGGAAACGGGGTCTTTGCTACTGATTAAGTTAAGATGAGGTCATCAGGATGGGCCCAATCCAAATGCCTGGTTTCCTTATAAGAAGGGGACAAGAGACACATGTGGATAAAGGGAAGATACTGTGAAGACACAGGGAGAAAGCCATCTACAAGCCAAGAAATGTGTAAGGCTACCAGGAACTTGGGGAGAGGAATGGAACAGGTTCTTTCTCACCACCCTCTGAAGGAACCAACACTTTTAACATCTTGATTTTGAACTTTGAGCCTCCTAAAATGGGAGATAATACATATCTGTGGTTTGAGCTACCAAACTTGTGGTTCTTTTTTATGGCAGGCCCAGGAAACTAAAACACCCAAGGTACATTTTCTAAAACACCTAAGGTATATATATTTTTTTCATTGGAAATAATAGATA